TTTGGGGGTTCCGGCTTGAGGATTTGAATTCTTAGGGCTCTTAATTCCAAGTTCCCCCTTCAAGGGTTCCAAACAGATGCAGATGTCATAGAGGTTTCTACAAGGACTTACAAGTTTACAAGGCTACTCAAGGATCAGGGGACTGCGCAGGTAGGGTCAGAATTTAAGAGAACTACATTCATAACTATTTGACTCAGGGGCAGCAAGTCTTACGAACACCTTAGCATTCTCCCACGAAGGACGCGATGGATTGACATAATATAGGGGCCTTAGTAATTGGACTGGGGTTTTGGGGCCCATTGTACTATGATTATGATAAGGAACCCCCACCGCCTGAAGTCTGCTTCAAAGCACTTCAAGACACACGAGGGCGGGAACGTTTACCTGATCGTAGGGCGCAGCGAAGCATAGGGACATATAGCGAACCCGTGATAACCTTCAACTCGTGATATACCCTGTCCGACTGCTCGATGCGCTTGCCATTGTCTGGCATCCCCTCCCTGTTTCTCCATGTGCTTCATTCTGTGGAGTGCTGCAAGCGGGCCTTCCAATGGCTTATCAACAAAGCCTGGTATGTGGCATTTACGAACCGCAACGTTCAGGGCATGTCGAGGGCGTCTACGCTGCTACCATAAAACCCTTGGAAGCCCAAACCCTAAACCCTCGACCCTTGAGCCGCTTGAAACCCTTGAAACCTAAACCCTAAACAAAGAAAAGCATGAAACCTGAACCCAGAACCCTTGAAACCTAAACCTTAAAAACCCTTGGAACCCTGATAACACCGTCAAAAACAGAAAAAGAATAAAAATGACATAAACAAAACAACAGCCGGGCGCGGCCTCACAGAGCCGCGCCTGAAGGAATGGCAGCACCTGGCCGCTTTTGGGTTTCGGGTTGAAAGGTTTGGGGTTTTGCGGGGCTTAGGGCTTATGGGTTTAGGGGTTTAGGGTTCGGGTTTTAGGGTTTAGGGGTTTAGGATTTAGGTTTAGAGTTTAGAGCTTATGTCGGGGCATCAATAGTTAGAATAGGGTTCCTTTATAGTGTTCTATAATTCTCTAACGTAGGGACCTTAAGAATTAGAGTAGGGTTGCGTGTAAAGTGTTCCTCACAAGGCTCTAAAAGGGATCTACAGGAGGGCTTTATAATAACCCCCACAATAGTATAGGTAATTATTAAAGACCCTGTGTTGAAGGGTTGAGGGTTGAGGGTTCAAGGCTTAGGGTTTCGGGCTTTTGGTTTAGAGTTCGGAGCTTCAAGTTTCGGGGATATGGCGAGTTTCGAATGGCTCCATGCGTTGGGGTTTAGGGTTTAAGATTTTGGGGTATGGTTTGATAAGGCTTTGTGGATTGTGGAAGAAGCTTATAGCGTGTGATGATTGTTTGGGAGGGCTCTTATCGCGTGTATCGGCCTGATCTGGCTTTCTACAGCAGGCTTTGGGGGCTCCCAAAGTAGGGGTCCGTTTTGGGGAAATTCTTGCACAAGCGTGGAATCCTTACTAGGGTCCTTTACTGTGCGAGGCCCCGATTTCATGAGCAGGGCGTAGAGCTTGGGGGCTCCTTCCGCAAGACGCTAAACCTTGCAAATTCTGGACCGTCACGAGCCTCCTGTTCGGGTACGGCGGCAGCGCCATCGAAATAGACCTGCCAGGGGATAGGATAGGCCTGAATGACTAGATTTGGGCCGCCCAGCCCTCCAATTGACAATCTCGGAGACGGCAGCTGAAATCTACCACCCTGACACGGATTAGTGCTTGTGGCTTAGGGTTTGGGGCTTGGGTTTGGGGCTTCGGGTTTGGGGCTTAGGGTTTTAGGGCCTGGGCTTCGGATAGAACAAGAAAGTTTAGGATGCAAGGCCACCGGAATCCCTACCTTCGTCCCGGCAAGAACGAACAAAATGCTCTCCCTTAGTATAGGGGCCTTGATGATCAGAAAAGGGCTTGGGTGAAATTAGAGCATACTTTGAATAAGGAAACCGATGGAATAATATTGGTAATTGGTCAGAGGACTATACGTTAAATTTGGCCAAGGATCCCTCTCTCCATGTTTTCTTGCATAATATATTCTTGAATGAAGGCACTTGGGAGTCTCTGGGTACAGTCAAACTGCTCTTTTTCCATGCACCCCGGCGGCAGCACGTTCTTTGCACACTGCGCGCGTTGGCCACCACAGGCCTTGAAAACAACCCAAGAGCCCTTGACAACAGTTCTAAGCTGCAGACTCCAGGGCTCTTGAATTAGGGTTTTGGGTTTTGGGGTTAGGGTTTAGGGTTTAGGGTTTAGGGTTTAGGGTTTAGGGTTTAGGGTTTTGGGTTTAGGGTTTTGGGTTTTGGGGTTTAGGGCTTAGGGTTAAGTGTGAACACGCGTTAGGAACCAAAGGTTTCTTCAGGGTGCAATGCCGCCCGGTGGAGTTTTGGGATGTTCTGCGGAGAGCACGACCTGGTTAAAACCCTAAACCCTAAGCCTGGGAGTTGGGGGGCCGCTTTGGGCTTGCAGGGCATTGCGCTGGCAGGTCATGAGCCCTACGCCTTCTAAACTGTAAACATGAACGGAATGCTTCCTGAGTCAGTCCGTTTTGTGGCTGAGGACGGCTCTAAACAACTTGCGGGTTAGGGTTGTAGGGTTTCGGGCTTGTTTCTCCCGCGCGTTTTCAATTAGGATTGGCTTAGGTGTAGCCTTCGGGCGTTGCCGTTCAGGGTGCCGAGTTTCAGGGTAGCGTGTATACCGGACGCAGCATGCACCACAGGGTTTGTGGTTTGGAAATGTGCGGTTTAAGCTTCGGGGGCTGCCCTGTAGCTAGAAACGAACTAACATTTTGGGGCCCAATAAAGCATGCCCTACAGCCTGATCTCAACGCCGTCGCAATTCTGAAGACCTTAACAGTGCCCTGATGAAGGGTTGAAGGTAAGGGCGTAGACGCCCTAAGTCGCGGGCTCCTATCTTCAAACAATCTACGACCTCTCCGCATTTGAGAGGCGTGGTGCGATGGAGGGTCCACAGGACACATCATATGCTTTCGTCTGAGCAATCCCTGGGTGCGGGTAGGTAATTTGTAGATAGGCAAGCGGATGGATAGCTATAGCTACGTAACGATCTATTGCCTCGTTGAGAGATATATAAATGTGGCAGAACGCGACTGTAGGGGGTAAGGAGCAGGGAACAGGGTCTACGACTGCACAAGCACTGCAAATTAAGCATATTATGCTCTACGGAAAAACTTGCAGCAAGGACAGGAGGACGAATCTCGAACCTTCACTGAGATTTCGCGTGCCGGGACCCACGGACAGGACTGAAGCTCCCAAAGGGAGCTGTCAAAAGAGCTGCGAGTCGCAGAAGGCTGCGGGAACGGCAGGCTCCCAAAGCCCCGAGCCGACAGGATTTTCGAGAGTTAAGAACTACGGCTGATGATATACATCCTGGGGTTCCTTTAAAGGGATCTATAAGGATACCTTTAAGGGATGTAAAGGGTTTTAGGGTTTAGGGCTTAGGGATATAAATCCTGCATTACCCATAATAAGGAATATACCACAACTCCCATAGTTTAGGGTCCTTAAGGTAGTGCAAGATTTAAATCATCAACAGTACAGGAGCTTGACGGTTAAACTTGAGGATTCGAGACCGAGGGCTTTAGCCGTTTTATGCAGGGTTGGTATTTTGCCCCTGAGTCTCATATACGTTTTGGGGCTTCGCAGTGAAGGTTTGAGGTATCTTGATGGGGTCTTGCTATGCTTCGGTGCTAAGAATCCTAGCTATTTGTGCAAGCAAGCATGGACTCCTGTTGCAAATCTATACCGTAAGCCTGCGCCGCCCATCCGAAGTTTGGGTGTCATTACCCGGTGGCCGCGTCGGATTATGATATGGATAGATAGTTGGATAGTTAGACGACGAGTTAGATAGTTAGATAGTCATATAGTCAGATAGTTAGATAAATATAGAAAGGCTAGATAGCTAGATAGCTAGACAGATAAGCAGATGGAAAGTATAAAGCTAAGGTAGATAATCAGATACAGCACGTAGGTTGCACAAACATGCGTTAGACGTAGATGTACGGATTATGAAGGAACCTCTTCGACAGTAAACAATCGGCGTTAAAACCCTAGGCCCTCAGAACAAAACTGACACAGCCTCTGCGCAACATGTGGAGACCCAGTTTAAAGCCCTATGACAAGCATCGAGCACATCCCCTAAACCTCTTAACGGGTTCCTCTTTCTTTGGTACAATAGTACAGAGATTGTTGCGCGCCGTTGGGGTTGCAGAGCTTTCAAGCAGGTTTGGGATGCGAGGTTCTGGATGTGAGAGCTTAAAGCTTTAACGGTTTTGGGTTTAGGATTTAAAGTTTAGGGTTTAGGGGCTTCAGGCCTTTAAGGACCACAGAGATTGAAGCGCTCAAGAGGGAACTGTTCTGTACGACCCTGAGTCCAGGTGTCGGTGCTGGAGTGACGAAGCCCCTCGCAGCTGCAGCTAGGAAACAGATGGAACCCCAAGGGTCCAAAGGACCCAATAATTTGGCATTCGGTTTTAGGATAGTAGGTATGTAGGTTAGGATTTTGGAGAGTATACGATAATTAGGTACTTGGACCCTTAGGAGAAGATAGGGCCGGGTGCCAGAACACGGGAAAGTTCGGTATGCAGGCTCTACCGGGTCTACCAACTCGAATCTGGGGCTTGCGGTTTTTGATTTTGAATCCGGGCCTTTGAGATGAAGGGGCTTGCACCTTTCCCTGCACCCCAAAGCTCTGTTCTGCCTCCAAAACCACATGCCCAACCTTCCTAAACCTTGCAATCCTGACGTCCTGAGCCCTACTCACATCCCCGTGGACCCGGCCCTCTTTGTGCATTCGGGGCTTATGGTTCAGGACAAGACTTGAGTTTCTCTTGTCCTTCTACACATTTATAACCACGTACACGAAAGCCCTAAACCCTAAACCCTAAACCCTAAACCCTTAACCCTAAACCCTAAACCCTAAACCCTGAACCCTAAACCCCGAAATTTTGTTCGCGCCCTCAGTTGCCGATTTCCGGCTCTTCCACGGGCGCCTCCCCTTGGATTTGGGAGCAGACTCTGAGGGTTCTTGGGCTTTGGGGTTTAGGGTTTAGGGTTTAGGGATTAGGGTTTAGGGATTAGGGTTTAGGGATTAGGGTTTAGGGATTAAGGTTCTTGGGCTTTGGGGTTTAGGGGTTAGGGTTTAGGGTTTAGGGTTTAGGGTTTAGGGTTTAGGGTTTAGGGTTTAGGGTTTAGGGATTAGGGTTTAGGGTTTAGGGTTTAGGGTCTAGGGTTTAGGGTTCCTTTTCAAGGTCTTCAGGGTTTAAAGCCTAGAGTTTCGGTTTGAGGGTCTAGGGTTTAGGGCTTATAGGGATTCGGCTTAGGCGTTCTTTTCCGGGTTCCTGTAGGAATACCTATGAAGTTGGACTGAACCAAACGCTCCACTTTGCGTAGTTTTGCTGTTGCATAGAGGGAACAGGATCCCCCCATGCCTCTATTTTCTCGACAAAGGGGTAGTTCTCGAACTTAGGGTCCGTCCCTGTTAGTGTCCCTTTATACGGGGTGCCGTACGATTTTGGGGACCTATAAAGGAACCCTAATTCACAACTACCCATATGTTTTTTGGTGCTAGGCTTTGCAAGCCAATGCACCGGGCGGGCCTACACTACATAATGAAGGTGATGCAGGGGCCTTCATATTGAGAGGAGTGCTTCGTGCTCCTTTATCGTACATTTACAACAACGAACCTTCGGGAAGAGGATTAGTCCCCAGAGACTCCAATATGCCTTAATTCAGGAATATTCCTTAAATTATGGTAGGATCCCTTATATGATTTAAGGTATATTCCTTAATTAAGGGATATTGGAGTCTCTGGGTCATTATTCAGGCGTCCATACCAAGTACACAAGGAATTGCTCCGCATCCTGGCAACTACATGCAGTACTTATCGCTGATAGCTACGGTATCCTTGACCCTGCTTAGAAAGGTATACTCTAGGAGGTGCTTTCAAAGCCTTGGAAAAATTTTAGTAGATAAGATCCACTTAAGCCCAATTAGAGCAAATATATAATGTCCCAAAGCCCTGCCCAGTACCAGAAGTACCTATGCAACCTTCAAGAACCGGCTGCCCAGGTACGCTTGACCTCAGGCGCGTCCTCCTCCTCGTCATGCTCCTTGGATTGGGACTACACCCTGGCCCTGGACGCGGGTGGCCCTGAAAGAGTGAACGACAAGCCCTAACCCCAAGACCCCAGCCAAAAACTCTAATCTAAGCTCCAAAGCGCAAGCTTGCAAAGTTTCGGTAGTTTGGGGATGGATTAGGAATTTGGGGGCCAACGCCACACCTAACAAAGCCACACCTAACATCGAAGGCTGAATAATGTGCTGGTGCTTTTTTGAGGGGGTTCTTTACGATAAATGCGTAAGCAATCCGGAGGAATGATATCTATTCGGCCTTCTTCCGGGCATCTGACCACCGCTGAAAAAACAATCGCAACCACAAGCCGAAGCTAAAGCCTGAAGCCTAATGTGGGGGGCCTTAATAATTACAATAATTAGGGTTTTAAGCCCAGTATACTACAACAATAATAACAAGGAAACCGCAAAATAGTAGAGGTGATTATTTAAGCCCCTACACTAGAACCGTCTCCTCCCCCCTCCCCGCATGTCGCAGCCCCCCGAAAGGCATCCGAGCTTCCGCATCTGCCGCCACATCCATGGTTACCTGTCCGAGGACCCCACATCCCCACTGAGACCCCTTAGGCGTACCTTTGGTTAGTAGGGAACGGAAGAATGGTAGTAATAGTAGTTATAGTTGTATCCCATTCCTCCATTCCCTACTAACCAAAGGTAAGTAGGTTTCGGAGTGCTTCAGTTTAGGGTCCTTCCGGTTTTTGTTTTTGTTATGGGCGGATAGAAATCTCACATGCTCAACGCCGCAATCAGACCGATGGGGAACCCTCATAGTGTCATAGGACCTCCGTTGAAAGGAAGCCCCTACGGAACTCTTCCAACCAACTGGGCCACGGTCTGGGGTTCAATTGCCTTAAAATTTCAAAAGCACTGGACTTTAGAATCCCCAAAAGGGTTTAGGGTTTAGGGCTAAACCTCAAAACCCGAAAGCCTCGCAAACACACGGGCAAACTGGAGGCCTGTAGCTTCAGCTCACGCTCTTCCAACTCCTGCTCCCGACGTTTGAAGTCCTGGCAGCTTAGGGTGACATAGGGGCCTAAATAACTACCAAGTTGTAGTATAGTATAGTACAGTATGGTGCCGAATAGTAAATGAAGTCAATGTAGTATCATACGGTATAGTATAGTAGAGTATAATACTATAGCATGATCTAACATACCAATATAGTAGAAAATAGTATCATGTAGTATACCCCAAAACCCTATTCCCCTTTAGAAGGCATTCTAGTCTCGGGATTAGGGTGTGGGCCACGGTGAAGGGTTTGAAGTTCAGCGTATGGCTGTCGGTTGTTTCAGTCCACGCCATGCAAGCCCCGTCTAAACAATATGAACGTCCTACACCATCATCAAACCCCCTACCTTTGCCTTATACCCAAAGCCTTACGCGTGAAAGCTTACACCCCAAACTCTATATGAGCACCTGGAACCCGTATTAAAAATAACCGTCAGAAGCCCAAAATAGAATTTAGCGAAACCTTGAGCCCGAAATCCGAAGCTCCAAGCCGTGAGCCCTGCAACAGCGCCACGACGAAAGAGCCACCCAGAGACTCCAATACTCCTTAGTTAAGGAATATACCTTAAACCATAGTAGGATCCTTAATATGATTTAAGGAATATTCCTTAATTAAGGGATATCAGAAACCCCTAAACCCTAAACCCTATAGATCCCTTAAAGGATCCCTTTAAGGAACCCTAGGTATTGGAAGGTCTGAGCAGTTTTTGGCGCCTTCTCTGTCCTCTCGACCTCCAGCTCACGTTCCCGGAGCTTTTCTTCCTTGTCCTGGTTCCAAGCGTAAAAGGAGGGACCCCTAATAAGGACCCCTAGGTATATACCCATAATATGGCCATTATATATCCATTATATAGCCCATTATAGGGTATGGGGTCCCCATTAAGGGTCCCTCCTTTTTCCCTTTGACTGGTTAAGGGGTTTAGGGTCTAGGGTCTAAGGTTTAGGGTTTAGCGTTTAGGGCCTAAGGTTTAGGGTTTAGCGTTTAGGGCCTAAGGTTTAGGGTTTAGCGTTTAGGGCCTAAGGTTTAGGGTTTAGCGTTTAGGGTCTAAGGCTTAGGATTTAGCGTTTTGGGCTTAAGGCTCAGGGTTTAGGGTTTAGGGATTAGGGTTTAGGGCTGTTGAGGGCTTCGGGACTCCGGGCTTAAAGGCTTTAGGGGCTTTGGGGGGCATTCGGGGCTCTGAAGGCTGTTCCGCAGGCAGCAGGTAACTAGAAGGCAGAGTGGGTCCTAGCCCCTAACGATGGAAAACCCAAACCCTAAAACCCAAACCCTTATAAACCCCTGAAGCCATAAACCCGAAACCATAAACCCGAAACCCCTGAACCCTAAACCCTAAACCCTAAACCCTAAACCCTAAACCCGAAACCCGAAACCCGAAACCCCTGAACCCTAAACCCTGAGGGTGGGAGGAGCCTGCGAACCCTGCAGCCTGCAGTTCCTGACGAAGCCAAAAACTCCAAAGAGCCCAGGCACTTTGGAACCACGCTTCGGGTTCCTTTAAAGGGGATCTATAAGGGTTCCTTTAAAGGGATCCATAAGGGTTCCTTTAAGGGATCTATAGGGTTTAGGGCTTGAGGGTTTAGGGTTTACGGTTTTGGAGGTTTAAGGCTTTAGGGCTTGGGGTTTTCGATTTAGGAGTTGGGGTTTAGGCTTTTGGGGGTTTAGGGCTCCCAGAGACTCCAATATTCCTTAATTAAGGAATACTCCTTAAATCATGGTAGGACCCCTTATATGATTAAAGATATATTCCTTAGTTAAGGGATATTAGAATCCCCTAAACCCTACAGATCCCTTAAAGATCCCTTTAAGGATAATATTCCTTATATGATTTAAGATATATTCCTTAATTAAGGGATATTGGAGTCTCTGGGCTTTTAGGGTTAAGGCACTCCTAACCCAGTGATCCGGCCTTCGCCCTTCACCGGGTGGCCTAAAACCCCGCAAGGACCCCCAGGGCCCGGCTTAGAGTTTAGGGTTTAGGGTTTAAGGTTTACGGTTTAGGGTTTAGGGTTTAGAGTTTAGGGTTTAGGGTTTAGGGTTTAGGATTTAGGGTTAGAGTTTAGGGTTTAGGGTTTAGGATTTAGGGTTTAGGGTTAGTTTCGGGTTTAGGGTTCAGGGTTTAGAGTTAGAGTTTAGGGTTTAGGGCTTCCTGTTTGGCAAGAAAGCTCATGATACCGCTATAAGCCTGCAACCCTGCTCAGCAAAATGTCAAAAGCACTCATGAAACCTTTATAAGATCCTAGAGGATCCTAGAGAACCTCAAAAAATCAGACCCTAAACCTGTATCCCTGGAACCTCAACGAAGCTCCCGATGTATTTTCAGGGATGAGGGCTTCGGGTTTAGCGATCTTCTAGAGAATCCCTAAAGCCTAAACCCTAGATTTAATCCCTAAACCCAAAACCCTAAACCCAAAGGCTTTCAACCCTAAACCCTGGAACCTGAAGGAGGGCTCCCTCCCAAGCCTTCAGGACCTAGGGTTTGGGGTTGAGGGCTGAGGGTGGAGGCATCTTCCTCCATAAGGTCCCCGTAGAATCCCCGGAACCTCAACCATTATACGATAAGAGTAGTTTATAAGGAACCCCCAAAATTAGGCCCTAAACCCTAAGCCCTAAACCATAAGCCCTAAACCCTAAACCCTAAGCCCCCATATTAAGCTCCCCTACCTCGCCTTCAGGACCGCCTCCCGGGTGTTTTGGAGCTCGCGCTCCCGGCTGGTTCGGTGCGCCTCGGTGCCCTCCTCGCGCCGTGGGTTTAGGGATTAGGGATTAGGGTTTTAAGGTTTAGAGATTAGGGCTTTCAGGGTTTAGGGATTAGGGTTTTTAGGGTTTAGGGATTAGGGTTTTAGGGTTTAGGGATAGGGTTTTAGGGTTTAGGGATTAGGGATTTTAGGGTTTAGGGATTAGGGTCTAGGGTTTAGGGTTTAGGGTTTTAGGGTTTAGGGATTAGGGATCAGGGTTTAGGGATTAGGGTTTAGGGTTTAGGGTCTAGGGCGCGGCGTAGAAGTGGAATCGTTTTAAGTTGAATAGGGTTCTGGGGTTATACATTATGCCAAGTATGCTATTGGCAACCTTGCTTGTTAGAAGGGGATTTCTGTAACTATTACTAACGGCAAGAATACCGGTGGCCTTGGGTTTAGGGTTTAGGGTTTTGGGAGGTGTCCCCTCCAAGTCCTTCCAACCACGGCTTAGGGTTTAAGGATTAGCCCGTCCGATTAGGACTTGGAGATGTGTTCAGATCTTTAGAGCATCCCGTCCGACTAGGACTTGAGAACATGTTCAGATCTTTAGAGTCGAAGATTTCTAGCATTGGTGGCTTACGCATAGACACAACTTCACAGGGTCACGCAAGGAGGATGTCCACAACACCTCCTAAGAATTAGACTTTAAGACTCCGTATTATAGCTCATATAGAAAACCCAAAACGACATGCTCTACAGTCCTACGAGCCAACCAGAAGAAGGTGAAGACGATAGACACAAGAAGCTGCACAGACTCTAGAACTGAATGAAGCCAGCGGGCTTACAATAGAGCCTACGGCCGAAGGGCACTGCGATGCGCTATCTCCACGCAAAACGTCCTAGACCCCCGGCAGGATCCAAAACGTAGATCCCTTAATGGGGGTTCCTATATAGTACCCTTAGTAGAAGAGGGCTCCAAATTAGGGGATCTACTTTCGAGATCCTGCCGGGGGTCTGGGGTTGTGGGTTCGGGGGGTGGAGCTTTGGGGTTTCGGGGCCCGGGAAGATGCGCGCCTTGTTGGCCTCGGCGACCCGAAGAGTGATCTTGGAATCCTGCAAGCACTAGCAATTCGCATTGGTATAGGGTTTAGGGTTTAGGGTTTAGGGAAGAGTAGTAGTATGAGCATTAGTATCAGTATTAGTATTGGTATTAGTATTAGCACTAGCAATTCAGTGCTCAGTTCCTTCTTGGTTTTTTCTCCTATGCTGTTTTGGGTGGTCGAAAAGGCCAACTGCTCGAACACCTCGTGTGACAAATTGTCGGGTTTGCAGAGCCGCTGAAGTTTTAGATCTTTCGGCTTGATCTGTGTTTGTGCTGGTGTCGTGTTGGAGCCCTTGGCTTGGCGGGCTTCAGGCTCACAGGCATGTATTCGGCTAGGGCTGACTGCTCGACTATCAATAAAAGGCCCAGGCCCGTAGCCCGAGATGGAATGCCCCCGAAACCCTAAACCTTAAACCCTAAATCTAAATCCTAAACCCTAAACCCCAAACTAAAACCGTGTACTTTCGAAACTTCTTAACACCCGCAACATTCTGCGGCTGTGGAGTCGTTTGTATTCGTCCCTTCGACCTTCCTGGGTGAACTTGTTTTTCGACGGGCACCAAACACAGACGAACTGCCTCTACCTCGACGAAGGTACCGGCCCTTCAGAAATACAGAACGACGAGCACGCAGCTGACGCATTCTTGCAGAGCATTTATAGAATACACCAAAACCGTTAAGCTATGAGCGGTCGCGCTAACCTTTTACTCAGAGGGCTTGGGCACAATAGTCAGCGGTATATAGTACACAACATGATGACTGTACACGACCATACAAACTCCTACGCAAGCTGCGATGCAAAACTACACCCCCCTCACCTAAAGGCACGGTCACTGCATTCAAAAACACAACATACCTTCGCCTGCAGGTGGAAGAGCGCTTCGGCTCGGAGTTTGACGATCGGCGTGGAGTTGCCTCCCGCGTCATCAGTTCAGCAAAAGTACATGTGACTATCGTGTGCCTCGAGGAAGGGTGCGAAAACTGCATGCGAGCTTTTCTTCAAATGCAAGACGCTGGTTTCAGCGTGGAGCAAGGACGATAGGAGTTCGCCGCACAGCCACTTGAAAAATATCACAGGCCGGGTGAACATCCCTCTTGCTCGAAAGAATCAGACTACTGGGTCGGCTTATCAGTTCCAACGCCATCCGCGATTGCGCCACTCACGCCAGTCCTGGTTGTCCCAGTTCTGGCCGCGCCATGATCCCCAGGATGACGAAGACCAATTCTGCCACCAGGATTGATTATCCCAGTCCCAGTCGCGGTTGGTGCGATCGGCGGCCTCGGCGTTAGCCGGGCTTTTGCCTTTTCCCTTCTCTGCTGCTCGGGCATATGTAGAGCCCTTGCCACCACCTGGCGGATGCTGCTGGGCATACTTCGGCTGGGCAGCACGACTTTGATTGGCCTTTTTGATGGTTTCATCAACCGTCTCCACCATGAAGGGTAGGTCCTTTGCCAAAACGGTCTGCAGGTCCGTACCCACTGCAGCGGGATCGTAGTTGAGGAGATCCACCTTGCCGTGGCCAAAAGTCTGTAGACGGATGCCCCCCTTTTGCCTGGCGATGTTGTGAGCGAAATCTTGGAACGAAAGGATGGCTCCGTACCATGTAAATGCTACTGGCGTATCCTCCGGCGTGGACGTTAGTCCCGCTGCGCACAACTTACCGCCAATGCCATCGTCTCCGGTAAAGAAAACGATACGACACTCTGGAACCTCGTCCGTGCGGAACTGGTGCGTGGAACTCGCCGCTCTGGAGGATCCAATAGCCAGCATGCGTTGCGATCGAGTGCGGCCAGGGTTCGGAAGGTAGGCGAAGCAGAGGCAGTCGAGGGCACGAATCGTTCTGCGTGTATATCCCTCTTTGGCCATTGAAATTGCGTATTCATTGTCATGATTGAACCTCGCCACGCAATCAGTGTAGCCCTTTTTCACGGCTCTCTGCTTTGCCACTTTGGCTTTCCGAATAACCTCGCCTTCTAAGGAGTTCATGCCACGGCCGGCGACATCTTTCGATGCGCTTTGAAGGCTTGGCCTCACTCCCACTCGTTCAGCGGCATCACCCATCTCCTGAAGCAGAGCTTCACGCCCACGTGCCAACAGCGTCCGTCTGCCCTGTGCCTTCAATTGACCTGGTCGAACTGGCCCTCCGCATTGAGAGCAAATCCTTTGGCCTTGAAGACACTCAGCTTTGCAGTGGTAGCATTTGATTTTCTCCAAAAACGCGGCGGATGGCTTGGTCTCACTACCAGCATAAAGTACTGGTTCTGGCCTTCCCACCGGCTCCTGGATTGCTTCAACTGGTGTACCCTCAGCATCCAGCGTCACCGTTGTCGCCATTCCGTCACCGATGTACACAGTCCTGATTGGAGGACCCGGCTGTGCAATGATGGTGCCTGGTTCAACAAGCGGCCTCTCCTCTACGGAGGGCATTTGCTCATCATCAGGAGCTTCATCGTCGTCAGCCTTTGCAGGGGCATCGGTGATAGCCAACGATCCCTCAAGCACATCAGCGACATCTGGAATGGGCGGTAGGGATGTTTCCTCAGCTGGAAGGGTACCATGTTCTTCATCAATAGGCGGTGCGAAATTGTCCTGAGTCGTCTCCTCAGCCTCGGGTTCATCAAGAACGATATCGATGCCGGCCTCAGCGTTAGCTGGGCTTTCACCTTGTTCCGTTTCATCAGGAGGGACAGCGCCTCCCGCACGGGACCAAAGTACGACATCGCGTTGCGTGTCATTGATGAACAAGATGGTCGAGCCGGGCACTGCCTCGGAGCACAGTATGCCATCAGACTCCGTAAGGAATAGATCGCAACCAGCTTCGAGGACCTCCCGGGTGTCAAAGACGATCTCAATCGGTGCACTTGCACGGAGTCCTGAACGTACCTTTTGCTCTTCGAGCGGCAGCGGCGCAAAATAACAATGCGCCTTCTCAGAACCTCCAAAACCAGGCAACAAACGATCTTCCAGAATCGCATACGCCGCATCATGTGTTGTGCGGTGATAGAGTCTGGGCGGCGCCTTATCAATCGGGATCAACGGCCTGCCCTCTCGGGCGGCATTAGCCAGCTCTTCAGAACGCTGCAGTGTAAGATATGCCTTTGCAATAGAGGCATTGTCAAGCTGCAGATTGCTGGAGTGGCCTTGCGTACAACCGACGTAGACCGGAAAAGCCGGTTGGCCAATTGCATCGGCAGCACTGTCCATTGGTCCGCGAAACATAAGGCGCTGTTTGTTGTCGGTGGCGATCATGTCGAGGAGGCTTCCTAAACCAATGTCGCTTCCAGGTCTGCATCGATTAGCAACCTCAAGCACTTCCATGGCTAGTACCCATGGCCCGCTCCACGATCGCATTTTAAATTGATTACCCTTGTTTTCGAAGTTGCCTCTGATCAGACCAGTGACAAATGTGACCATCTTGTGGTCACATCTGGGGTAGTGTAGGCCTGGCGTCATGTCTTTTTGGAACACTTCGATGTACTGGTCGGCCTCCTCTTGCGAGGGGCATTCGTTCCAGTAATCATACAGGGTAATGCCAGTCATCTCGGCGAAGTCGTAGGTATCATTCATGAACCTCATTCCGCGCGATCCCTGCACTGCGAGCTTGGTCAATCGCTGCTTGTCGGCCTCAGCCTTTGCGAGGCGAGCTCTTTTTGCAGCGTGCTCGGTGCCAGAGTCGCCAGACAGAATGCCTCCACCATAAATGGATGCGTCGATCGGCATTGGTCGAATATCGCCAGAAGATGAAGCCGCAGTACTCGCCGGGGTAACGGCCTCCACCTTAGGTGGGGCTTTGTTCCATTCCGGCGAATTGATCTCCTCTTCTGTTGCGAAAACACCGACGCTGATGACATTCTGAATCTTCATCTCCTTGAGGAAGTCGGGGACCTCAGGCGCAGGCAGTTCGGCGTGACTTTCGTCACGCTTCTCCTCCCAGTATGCGTCGTCCCACGGATCCTCCTCCGTTGGCTCCGCTTTGACCTGCTTGCTTCTCGTCATCCTCGCAAGAGCCGCTTGCAGGACATGGTTATCAACTGCGTAGCGACCACGGGAATCAAAATAATTTTCCGCAAGCAGTGATTGGAAGGCGGCTTCGCCCATTTTCGCTATTGCTCTGGAGGCGTAGCGCTCGGCGATCTCGATCTGCATGATGTGGGCTAAACCCGAAACCATCTTGCGGCGGGATTCGCTGTCCTCGCGGAAATGGACGTTGTCATTGTAGAGTGCCAAATTTCCAAGGAAGGGGTGGATGTCACAGGCGGCGAGTCCTCTACGGACCGCTTCGTCCTTGAATCGCGCAATGCATTCATCGAACTGCTTTGGCAACCCGTAGACGAAGCTGCGAATTCCTGTGCAGATCACAATGGACCCCACATATGGAGAACGGCGCTGCAGGTCTGCAAGCGCTTCAAGGTTTTGGCAAACTCTCCGACAGATCTTTTGCCAATCTCCGCGGGCCTCTATGGGCGATTGATGGTCCCACCACGTCGGGACGCCGGGGCTGCAAAATATCCCGTATCTGCCGACGATCTCATTCGCCATCCAGACAATCTGCACGTCCACCAGCAACTCTTGGTCGCCAGAGTAGCGCAGAGCCGTCTGGTCACAGAGGATCTGAGCCCTCTCCCGAAGTTCGGACAATGTTTTGCCCCACAGGGGTTCGTAAATTATCTCCCTGTATTGCAGATAGACCCCCGAGCTCGCTGCCTTCAAATCCGAGGAAAGGTCTGTCCTCGTTCTCTTGCCAGCAACGAAAACAGTCGTAGAGTCGGAGAGGAGGATGAGCACCCGCTTTCGGCCTCGATTTTCATCGGGCTTTAGCTGCGACATGCCAGACTGCGTCAGTGCTGCCACTCGGTTGAGCCCAGGATATCGATCCGTTTCAAAGCAGTTGTGAGCAGCCACTTGCACCGGCATGTACTGAAAAAGTGCTCGCAACTCTCCTTCGTCAATCGACTCTTGGAAGCCTATCGACTCGTGACTGATGACGGCCGCCCAAAGCTGGCGGCCCCA